TTGGACATGTACATTACGGGTAGTAAATTAACGTGTAAATGTGGTGTTGCATTACGAGCAAGCGTAGAACATGTTATTGTAGGTCATCATGATGTTTATCTGGATAATGAATTACAATTATTTTTTATATGCCGTGATGACCGCTGTGACTATAAACGTTCTGTGCCGCAGTTAAAAGATTTACAAAAACGAATTCGGTGTGTTTGTAACAAACCCTGTGAACATGATGGTGAAATATATAAATGTTCTCGGGGTGAGAATGGGTGTGGAACATATTTTCATGAATTGCATTCATTAACATACATGCATACAGTGATGACTGAGGATGAACTCGAGGATTGTGCATGGGCGTATTTACCGATTAATGTTAAACAATTAAAATGTGGACATTACGGGATTTTAAAATATGAACACAGTAGATTAAAATTAATATGTAAAAATTTATTTTGTAATTGTAGTACAGACGCTGTTATAGCACCAGATTTTAGAATTGATGAATAAATATTATAGAAAAGCCCACCAAAAGCCACCGTTTTGTACTTTTTTTTCTGCCTACAAAAATGGAAAAATGACCATGATTCATCGTTTTTTACCTATATAAAATAAATATAGGTTTATATAAATATATATGGTGTAGAGAGAATAATATTAAATTAACTATTCAGTAACCTTTTTGTTTTCAATAATGTTGTGTTGTTAGACTGGCTCGTGCAGCTGCTTGTGCTAACTCTCGTTCACCAGCTACAATACCACCACGTTGAGGAGGACCATAATAGCGATGATCATCAAAATCATCGTAATAACGACGTCTTCTTCGACGATTACTACTATTTCTTATACGACTACTATTACTATTAACACTATTATTTTTTACAATTATTGGTTGAGGCGGTGCTTGTGACTTACATCCGCCACCACCCATACCCAGTAATTTCATTAAAAATCCTCCGCGTTGTTTTTTTTTTGCACATTGATGTTGTTGTCCTTTAAATTTGCCCCCTTTTTGTTTTGGCCATCGTGAATAAGAATGAGTCAATTATTGGTATATGACACTCTTTATACCGTTCCAAAGCTATGTACAATTGAAAGTGTTCAATTTGCGGGTCCAATGGGTATAATTGTGCAGGTGATCAGCATTACGATATTTACGGTTACAGTGACATTAATTATATTACTGAGCGTCCTTATAATCAGGAATTACATCGGCTTATGGTGAATGTATTTGCACTGATACATTTGGCGGCATATAGAGATGCTGTGTTGGTACAATTGGAATTGGGTAAAAAAGGAATATATTGTAATTTACATTGTCTTAAGCAATTAGAATTATGGCGGAGACTGCATCAAGAATGCTAGGAAATTTTTGTGCTTTTTATAAAGATATGTTAAATTGGTCAAATAAATGGATAACATGTTATTTTGAAAAAGACGATCGATTACAGGGACGTACTACTTACCTTTTTCATGTGGATTTTGTATCAAACGGCATTCAATCTTGTACAATTATTATTGATCATTGGAAGCAAATAATTCATTATTATATAGAGGATTGTGATACCAGACATTTTGAAAGTCTTGATGATTTTTTACACAGCATTCAAAATAAAAGAAATGTGTGTATTAAAATGGTCGCATTATATAAAACAAAATATTCATCGTATATTATAAATACTCTTTCTAAGCTATTGTACGGAAAGGACTATAAAGTTGAAGATGGACGGGCACATTCATAGGAATATGCACGTTTTCTATGATTATGACTATTGTTTATTGCAGAAAAAACCCGTGGATATTTTATGTGGCGATACAATATACAAATGTTCTAAATTTATTCAAGTGAAACGTCGTGGATCGCATACGTATACTATATTTCTACGTGTATTATCTGGCGGATTACACCGAACCGAATATATTACTTTGAATTATCGCAGACGTCATTTAGCTGTTACTACGTACGCACGTGATGGTGAACTGGTAGAATTTGTAAAATGTATGCTTAGATATATAAAACAAAAAGTACATTTTAAAGATATTATTGAGACATTTTTAAAAACAGGGTATTATTTACATAAAAAAAGTACATTTAAGTTTATGAAATTATTTATCGGTGTTAGTTTACAACTATGTCCTGTTCTGCAGAGTTATGGGTGAAAACTATATGAAATGGCAACGGATAAAGATACAACGTGAATATGAAAAAGAACTAGAACAAAATTTCTATGTTTTTATTGGCAGGGGTGGAAAAAATTTTTTTCTTTCTGGGAACCTAGGTCAAAGGCTAAAAACTTTCTTCAAAATGTTTAGGAACGAACTTTCCCTAAGTCTCATGTTATTAGTATATTTTGTGTTCAATATATAGACCACAGTAAGACTTTTTTAAATGTTTATTTCATTAACAAACGACGTTTCGGAGATTTACTCCATCTTCAGGTAGGATTACAATTTAGATAAACATTTAAAAAAGTCTTACTGTGGTCTATATATTGAACACAAAAAAACTTTCTGTGAAATTTGCAATGTTACAATTACAGAGGTGACAAAACAAATGCATAATTATTGTATTATTTGTACTTTAATAATAGGCTTTAGGCTGGTTTTCATATGCTTGTGCATTGCAATGGTTGCCTGTTATATACCACAGTTTAAAGGTATAAAATATATCATAATCTGAGTGAGTGTCTGTATTAAATTAATTTATTCTACTTAAATTTAATGTACTGTGTTATTTTAATTTATTATTATTTATTATAGTATTGGGGGTGGCACAAAAAAAAGTTGCCCGGTGTGATTTGTTTTAACTTAAAAACTAAGAGAGCTATTACATGTGAGCTACGTGCATTGCATTCACTATTGTCTAACTTAAATTTTAATATACGCCTTGTGCATTTTCGTGCAATATTGATCAACAGAGCTGTGTTTAAACTTGAGTAACCATTTTTGAAAGTGTTGAGAATTAGCCAAAAACGGCCTATCAAATATGAACACAGCAATAACCTGTGTTTAGACACACTATAGTCACGAAGTATACGTTCGTTTTCAGAGACCTGACCAACGGCGCCGGTATAACCTCACGAGCATTATTTACCCTTACATATTCTAAACATATTGACACTCTTTGATCCTTCATTAAACAAGGCGTATTTATAAAAAAAACACGGGATGTTTCTTTCTTGGAACATTAGAATTTGATTTCCATGCAGGGTCATTGAATATTTAGAATAAATCTTTTAATCAAAATTGTGTTATACGTTAATTTTCATGCATTCGCAAAGACCTTAAAACAAAAAAGCACATCTATCCAGTAAACATTTTTAATTAAAACTTCATTTCATTGAAATGAATATTTATGATAAAATGGTAACGGTTATCAAATTAGTTTAACAGGCCGTTTTAGCTAATTCTCAACACTTCCCAAAATGTTTATTCAAGTTAAATGCAGCTCTCTCTGTCAATATTGCACGAAAATGCACAGGGTGTATATAAAAATTTAAGTTAGACAATACTGAATACAATGCACATAGTTTAGGTGTAATAGCTCTTTTAGTTTTTAAGTTAAAATAAATCAAACAGGGCATTTTTTGTGCCGCCCGGTAGTATTATAGCACTGGGGACTTGTTTACTATTTAATTTGCATTTTATTGGAGACTTTGCAGAGCATATATTTACCATTTTACCTCATTATGAGAGGGAGGGGGGGCAAGGGGGGCTCTCGTCACAAAATCACGAAGATCATTTTTAGATTTCACGAGTCACGAAAAACAAAATTTCATTTTCACGATTTTTGGAAACACAGAAGCGTAACAAAGTTTGAAACCATTTAACGATTTTCTAGACAGCAGAACTCAATTTTAACACAAACAGATTTTATTGACTTTAACATTAGAGCTTTTAAAGGACTATGGAAATCATTACAGACTTACCTAATGTTAATATTAATGTTGAAATCTGACTTGCACTGCTCTACCACTCCGTGTGGTTATTCCCATCATGAAAATGAGATCGTCATCGACGTCGTCCCTATCTGGAGTTTCACTTTCTGCTTCAGGATCACTGTCAGTATCGTATTCATCTTGTTGGATGTTTTGAATATCGTTATCTTCTTGGTCTTCTTGCATTTCCCTGTCATCTTCACTGACTTCACTCTCTTCGTTGTCAGTTTCCTGTACTGACTCTATGTGTTTTGAATGAGGCATTGGATTCACTGCATGTCGAGCTAAGACAATCTTTTCCTTTGGAAAGTCTGTTGGTGAAGGGTGATACATGTTCAGTGGCAAAGTGCCAGACTTGAACTTCATAGTTTCTTGCCTCACGGTTCGTTGACAAACACATTTTCCATTCACCATTGCCCAATCTCTCATCAGCTGCTCTTGTTTTGAATCCAATCTTGTAGTTCGCTTAAGATGGGGAAGTTTCGACATTTCTTGCAAGGAAATAGAGTTGTCAGGAATTGGATAATATGAGGTAGGATGAGTGAAGTAATACGCTGCCCAGCTTGAAATTCTTTTGATACTTTCGTACACAGAGTTTCCTAGATTGCGAGCATAGTTGAGAACAGTTGGGAATTCGTCCTTAAAATGACCAACTGCGTGAAGATTCTCTACCTGTGTTGTCAGGCAAGAGTGAAGATCAACGTAAGCGTTATTGTTGACTCCTTGTGGCCTTGTATTGTGTCTATTGTAGATTCAAGTTTGGCAAGCTCGCTGTGAATCATCTGAACAGACTTTAATGACAGATGGGACACTGTGCCTTCGGGACCATTGGTGATCTTATCGGAATTAGTCAGCACTTGAACATTCTTTACAGTTGTCTCAAGAAAGTCCTTCAGATCCCCAACTTTAGCTAAAGCATCCGAAATTGGCAATCGAGCAACAGTCTGGTACTTCAAATGAACAGAAAATGCCGTATACAATTTCCCGAGTTCTTTCAGGAAACGTACTGTGCCAGCGATTATAGTAATTAACTTTACGCAGCCTGTCTGAGAATCCATAATAAAAATATTCTTGTCGTTTTCAACACAGACTCCCATTAGCTGACCAAATGAAGAATTCTCAGCTCTCCCTCTTTATTTCCCTCTTGACCATTTCCAGCAATCAAATCCACATGGCCGTCATGACGTAGATACTTTACTCGAAAGGATCCAGAATCACAGAACAAAACACCACTCAGGTAAGTTGCTATTCCTGCACATTCAAAGCAGTGTTCAGTTCCATTAAGCAAAAGAACAGAGCGATGCCTTGTGGTGAGATCAATGGAAAGAAGTCCACCCGTATGCTCCATCTCGCCTTTGAATGCAACAAACATGGTTGCACTTTTCACACACGAAGATATGATTTGGGAACATTCATCCGGATAACGACAAAGCTCCTCAACTGATGCATGCATCGCAGCTCCGTCTGACTCCAACTCTATCATGTAGAAGCACCTGTCTACGCCGCTAGCACAAATTAGGATACAATCAGTCATGCTACATATACAAGATGGCTGTATGTCTTCAGAAAGTATGATCTTGTTGGTGTCAATTCCTGCTTTCTGATCTTCAGTTAAACGTTTTTTGACTTTCATGTTTTGCTCGCTACTCTGGTTTAAATAAATGATTACAAAGCCCAGTCGAATTGTAATCAAGACCCAACGTTTCGACACTCCAGTCTAGTGTCTTCATCAGGTGTGATCTAAAACTGCGATCGTGGCTTCTTAAATACCCAAGGGATGACGTCACCTGCCAAGAAGATGCATATATTCTTCTGGCAAATAGGCGCCGTCATCCCTATTCAAAGCATGATGACTCATATTTATATGCCACGCTTCTAGGCAAAGTCTTTGACCATAGCGATTGTTTGTGGTAATTACTTTAGAGTTTTCCCACGCAATCTCGTGTTTGGTGTAACATACATGTTCGGCTAAAGCTGATTTTCCCTTGTCTAAAGTTGAAACGGCCTTTTGATGTTCTTTTAGCCGTGTACCAAACTGGCGTTTAGACTGACCCAAATACTCTTTATCGCAGTCACCGCATGGTATAGAATATATAGCATGAGTCTTCTGATTTTTTTCAACAGGATCTTTTGGCTTTGCGAAAATATGGCCTAAGGTCAAATAGGGTTTTAAGGCAACCTTAATATTACAATTACTTAAGATTCTCTTGATTGGTTCTGTGACACCTTGAATGTATGGAACTATTGCAAAATCCTTAACAGAGGTATCACCCTTGGAGTTATTTTGGTTCCTACAAACAGGTGGTCTCAGGCAATCATTAAGAAAACGCTTTGGGTAATTGTTTTCCCCTAAAACATTTAGAACATATTCACGTTCATTAGCTTGAGAATCACTGTTTGACGGCAACGATTCAGCTCTTTGAAGCAAAGTTTTTGCTACGGATCTTCTATGGCTTACTGGGTGATGAGAGTCGTATGACAAGTATTTGTCTGTGTGTGTGGGTTTGCGATAAACATCAGTCTCTAACTTCCCTTCGACAGTTCTGTGTACATTCAAATCTAAAAAAGCTAAATGTCCATTTATTTCATGTTCTACCGTGAATTGGATGGACGGCTCAATAGAATTTAAATGTTGCAGCAGAATATCGATCTCATTTGTAGAAACCGCAGAGATGACATCATCGACGAAACGTTTCCAAAACGATAGGGACACCGGAACAGAGGCTAAAGCTCTTTGTTCGACATCTTCCATTACTAAATTAGCAATTACTGCCGAAACTGGTGACCCCATCGCTGTTCCAAAAACCTGTTGATAATAACAGCCCTCAAACACAAAGTATGTGGCATTGAGACAAAAAGACAGAAGATCAATAATATCTTCACAGGCAAGGATGTTCTTTGTAACAAAGTGGCATCCTGTCTTAGTCTTTTTGCCGCAACCTTGATGGCAAGATCAACTGGGATATTTGTAAACAAGGAAACGACATCAAATATACCAACACTTGATCTGCTTTAAGAGTTTTACCTCTTACAAATTCTGCAAAATGACAGGAATTTTTTACAGTGTTTTCGGTATTTCCCACCACAGGGGACAAAATTTTTGCCAAAAAACTTGAAACTCCATATGTAGGAGAATTCACAAAGGACACAATAGGTCTCAATGGAATTTCCGGTTTATGGATTTTCGGTAAACCATAGAAACGCGGAGATAGTTCATCACTGCTGTATAACTTTTCATATGTAGCCTTGCTGATAATATTGGATTTCTTCAAAAGAAGTAACTTGGCGTTTAAACTTCTTTGAGTCTTTCCAGTAGGATCAGACTTGAGAATAGAATATGTATTTCTGTCATTCAACAGTGAAAGAGCCTTCTCGCGATAATCATGTTTGTCCAGAACAACAACGCAATTGCCTTTGTCCGCTGAAAGTATAACCCTGTCCGGATCTGATCCTACTGGAAAGACTCAAAGAGGTCTAAATGCCAAGTTACTTCTTTTGAAGAAATCCAATATTATCAGCAAGGCTACATATGAAAAGTTATACAGCAGTGATGGACTATCTCCGCATTTCTATGGTTTACCGAAAATCCATAAACCGGAAATTCCATTGAGACCTATTGTGTCCTTTGTGAATTCTCCTACATATGGAGTTTCAAGTTTTTTGGCGAAAATTTTGTCCCCTGTGGAGGGAAATACCAAAAACACTGTAAAAAATTCCTGTCATTTTGCAGAATTTGTAAGAGGTAAAACTCTTAAAGCAGATCAAGAGTTGGTATCATTTGATGTCGTTTCCTTGTTTACAAATATCCCAGTTGATCTTGCCATCAAGGTTGCGGCAAAAAGACTAAGACAGGATGCCACTTTGTTACAAAGAACATCCTTGCCTGTAGAAGATATTATTGATCTTCTGTCTTTTTGTCTCAACGCCACGTATTTTGTGTTTGAGGGCTGTTATTATCAACAGGTTTTTGGAACAGCGATGGGGTCACCAGTTTCGGCAGTAATTGCTAATTTAGCAATGGAAGATGTCGAACAAAGAGCTTTAGCCTCTGTTCCGGTGTCCCTATCGTTTTGGAAACGTTTCGTCGATGATGTCATCTCTGCGGTTTCTACAAATGAGATCGATATTCTGCTGCAACATTTAAATTCTATTGAGCCGTCCATCCAATTCACGGTAGAACGTGAAATAAATGGACATTTAGCTTTTTTAGATTGGAATGTACACAGAACTGTCGAAGGGAAGTTAGAGACTGATGTTTATCGCAAACCCACACACACAGACAAATACTTGTCATACGACTCTCATCACCCAGTAAGCCATAAAAGATCCGTAGCAAAAACTTTGCTTCAAAGAGCTGAATCGTTGCCGTCAAACAGTGATTCTCAAGCTAATGAACGTGAATATGTTCTAAATGTTTTAGGGGAAAACAAATTACCCAAAGCGTTTTCTTAATGATTGCCTGAGACCACCTGTTTGTGGGAACCAAAATAACTCCGAGGGTGATACCTCTGTTAAGGGTTTTGCAATAGTTCCATACATTCAAGGTGTCACAGAACCAATCAAGAGAATCTTAAGTAATTGTAATATTAAGGTTGCCTTAAAACCCTATTTGACCTTAGGCCATATTTTCGCAAAGCCTAAAGATCCTGTTGAAAAAAATCAGAAGACTCATGCTATATATTCTATACCATGCGGTGACTGCGATAAAGAGTATTTGGGTCAGTCTAAACGCCAGTTTGGTACACAGCTAAAAGAACATCAAAAGGCTGTTTCAACTTTAGACAAGGGAAAATCAGCTTTAGCTGAACATGTATGTTACACCAAACACGAGATTGCGTGGGAAAACTCTAAAGTAATTACCACAAACAATCGCTATGGTCAAAGACTTTGCCTAGAAGCGTGGCATATAAATATGAGTCATCATGCTTTGAATAGGGATGACGGCGCCTATTTGCCAGAGGAATATATGCATCTTCTTGGCAGGTGACGTCATCCCTTGGGTATTTAAGAAGCCACGATCGCAGTTTTAGATCACCCCTGATGAAGACACTAGACTGGAGTGTCGAAACGTTGGGTCTTGATTACAATTCGACTGGGCTTTGTAATCATTTATTTAAACCAGAGTAGCGAGCGAAACATGATTGATATACCTGGTTGCAGTGAACGAACAAACTTTATATGTTTCTTGACTTGATCGTTCAGTCGCTTTCGTAATTGAACAACAGTTCCCTCAGCAGGCACTTTCCACTGCTGCAAAATCTTCTTGAGTTCTGATTTCTTCAGTTTATTTGCAGAAGGAGATATCTGGCTAGAAATTGGTACGACATAAATACCACTTGAAGCACACACATACGCGATTCCCTCAAGATATACAATGTGCCTAGCATCCCGAGCTCCTTGATCACCTTCACGTCAGCAGGTGAGTGAAGTCGCACTTCTAGTAGTCTTGTCGTTTGGCACATAGGCTTGTAATCCAACATCAAAACTTACTGTGGTTACCCATAGATATTGCAATTGGGTGAGGATATAGCCCACTTCTGTTACTGTCCGTAACCTTATATCTGTCAGGAAGAATTGGATGAACTACTCTGCCAATTTTCTTTAGTTCCTCTAGCACAATATCCTTTGTCAGATGTAAAATGCAATCCACATCCATCCGATCTTTGTTGAGAACGGCGTCTCTTGGTAAGACCCTTCTAATTGTCACATCTTCATCACGAAGACAATGAAGGACTGAAAGGCAAGCTCGTTCACCATCCAGTAGAAGCATCCAATTTGCAAAACTGGCTTTCAGGGTTTTGCCAACATGAACTGCATCAGGAAGACAAGAAAAAATATACTCTGGAGATAAACAACGGCTTTCAAAATCGTCAATTATGAGTTCAAATGCAGTTTTATTTCCAGATTCACATTCAGATGTTAGGACAAGGACACATGCCCTAATGCATTGAACACCGTCCTCCAAACAATTTGCACATGCTCATAGAGGAGGAAGATGACTGGTTTGCTGTGCTAGAAGGCATTCTGTACAGACGGCTTCTTCATCAAGGCACCTTTCGCATTTGCTAATACAATGTTCAATTGAAGCTTTGTCATTAATGACATGATCAGGAGATTTGGATTTTAGAAGACATCGCTTGCATGTCTGTAGAATAGTTATTTCTTCCAAAAACTGCTTTTTCATGTTCTCTCCTGTCTTACCAGACTTGGGAACGAATCGTATTCCAACAGGAATGCTAACTTTATTGTCAAGGGTGGAAATGAATGAGACATTTGCTTCTGTAACAATGTTGGAATGTAAGTACTCTGAGGTTGGATTAGGATTGGCTTTAACAAAAGCAAAATCAGCTTTGTTTCGTAAACCAACATTCAGTTGCTGTTGCTCGTCATGTTGGATACTCGGTTTAAGTGCTGTCCCATCATTTTCAAGGGCAACTGCAAAGGCTTTTACCGCAGGTGTTTCAACAAAAGGCAGGACGACATCTGATCTTGAGGATGAACTTGCTAATTCAAGCCCTGTGCAGAGCCAGCGTTTTACTACACCACTTTGTGTTGTGTATCCTGATGTTTGTTTCTGTCTTGTCATCCTTGATGGTCCCCCCAGGTTTGGTTTCATGTGTTCTGGAATCTTTCTGCCCCCTTTGCCTGTTCCAAACCACATTGGTCCTCTAATGAAATTGACTGTTCTCCCCCCACCCAGATATTTTATAGTGTTGAAAAACTCAACAACTTCAGCGTCATACTCCCAGTTGGGGTTGATCATAATATTTGTAACATCACTCAAATATTTATACATAATTCGATGTTTTGGAATTCTCCCCGATTGAATTAATTCATTAAGTCTAACACACATTGGATCTGCATTTTCCAAAGACAGTGGAAAAACTATGTATTCACAGTCTTCATTAACTTCATTATCATCACTGAGTTGCTGAAATCTTGAGTCTTCAAATGAGTCAAACGAGGCACTAGAGGTGTTTGATGCAACTAGAATTTCATTGTCACCCTCACAATCAAAGTCTGATATCGCTGTGGTCTCATGCACCAAATCACTGTCAATTCTCACTTCGTCTGTTTCACCCTCTATGTCCTCTGTGAAAGCGTCTTCGTGCATTGACTGCATATCCCAATCATCAATAAGATCGACACTGAAAAATGAACAATCTAAGAATTCTAATCTAATCTAAGACATCAGAATTGTGCATCAGTTTACAAGTTTGGAATTTAATAGACATCAACCAGATATGTTTAGAGATATAAGAATCAATCAGTCAAAGCAGACCAAAGCATGCATTGAAGACATTGAAAGATTTCCTCGATTTCTTACAAAGGTATACAAATAATCAAATAAACAGAAGTGCACAAAATGTGATGTGAGGGCCATAGGTTTGATAGTGCATTCGTACTGCAGTACTGAGTGATACCATGATAATTTGTAATGACTATAATATTCCACCAGATTTTGTAGTCTATGTACCATATACCAAAGCATACTATTAAGACTATTAAATTAAAGAGCCAAATTACAGTTTCAAAACACCATTTTGCTTACACTTATTTTCAAATTATTTATTTCCACCACTCTGGTATAAGTATGTACCTCAAGTAACAAGACTAACAATGTTCAGTCTATTATTTAATAAAAAAAGTATTAAAAAAACAACCAGTTGTGAACATTTCTCTACTAAGGCTACAAACATACGACTATGTCGACTACAGTGCCTACTTATTATGACTCAACTAGAGTATTAATTTGCATGTAAGACCCAACCTCGTTCCCAGGCTCTTTGCTCTTGGGAAGCAAAGACCCTGGTCGGAGCTGGTCATGTGAACCCCCAAATTTTGGGGGTAAATTGAATTTGACCTCAGGGAGGGCTAGTAGAGGAGTCTGTTTGTTGCGTTTGGAAAATTGCAACTTTATGTGTTATAATTTCGGATGATAAAAATGTAATTTGCAACAAGAGATTGTGAAAGGAACTGCTCTAAATTCGTACCGATCATGACAAAGACTTCCTGCTATCCTGAATGTCATCAATAATAAGTGTTGCGTTACATTTCAAGCGAGAAGCTGGATCATATTTCACTTGCAAGGAAAACACTCCACACGCGCCTGGCTTGCGAACTTTTGCACGTATCGCCGTAGAAACATATATATCTTCTACACAGACTGATCGATCAAACGGTATTAAACGAACGATATGGTTCTTTATAGTTGAAGTGTATCCTGTCTGATATTCAAAACAAAAGATTTATTTTATAGCGGGATCCTTTGATTTCCCAAACATCGCCAACATGTGTAAACAATAGTGCTATTTTGACTGTAAAAGGCTAAAGCACAGGAGTTATAGGAGATGCTGTGCAATATTTTGGCTTCAACAAACAGGTACTTGTGCAGACAAAAAAGGAAATTCATGCAGTTGAGAATAATGAATTGTCGTGTGTCAGCTGTGCACTGTCAATTTCTTGATGATGGCACTTTCTTTACCATTAAACACAGACCACATTTGATGGTAAATTCATTTATGACACAAGAATTACTCATCTTTTCAGCTCCTGTCAGAAACCCAATTAGAATAAAGAATTGAAAGCGATGAAAGATTGTTTACTTATTACAAAATGGTAATTTTATTGAGTTTGTTCGCTTCATCAGTTTTTAATGTCATTAATATTCTTTTGAATGCTAAATCTGATTTTTTTGGGGTTTTTTCAAGCCCAATAGATTATGAGATGTCATTTTTGTACCTCAAGCCAAAAACAAAATGGGATTACGCAATGGAATGTTGGTACGAAAAACGACCAGTGGGACATAACACATTGGCGTCAACTTACAAACGCATCTGTAAGTTAGCTGGTCTAGAAGGACAGTTCTCTAATCATTCTGGATGAGTGACGGCTGCAACTGCCATAGATATCTTATATACACTAGATAGTGCATCTAATTATTCTGCAATTCAAAAATTGAAGCCGTGATTGCAGTCTCAGGTCGTTCCCATGAAATGAGAAGATTCGTATGTTTTCTTTTTCTTAAACAAGGAACTTAAACATTAAGATAACCCTATTGCAAATACGTTTTTAAACTATTCAAATGATGAAAGTTTTTGTTGTTTTTAAGCGTTTATTAGCAAGTGGGAACGACCAACATGGCCGCCATCTATTCAAATAGGGGTAACCACTGGAATATGTTTGGCTTCAATTTTACTAAAAGAGATGCGCTATCTAGTGTATATAAGATATCTATGGCAACTGCCCTGTTGAAAGCAGGTATCCCAGATAAAATGGCTTTGGAAAGGACGGGCCATCATACTTTGGAAAGCTTGCAAGAATACCAGACACTGGAGGTAAACGATACAAAACGTGTGTCCAATGTTCTAAGTTCGTGTGCTAACAATTCTGAGGTTTGTGAGAAACAGGAAACGCATGTGTCCACTAAAAATAGTTTGGAAGAGAAGAGTTCTGAAATAATGTTTGCTGAGTGTGATGTAAGCGAAATTGTACTGACTCAGGCTATGGAGTGTTACGACAGTAATTTAGAAGGTCAAGCACAAAGTTCTTCAGGCATTAACTTTAATTTGAATGGGTTTATTCCTAATTGTAATATCGGTAGTTTAACGTGTATATTAACAAACAATAATGTAAGATTATTTGAGGTGTTTGAATTAAAAGTTGTTTTGGTTTTGAATGCATGTGTATGTTGTTTTGACCTTATATGTAGATCACATTTGCATGCCAGGTGAGAAGAAGCTAATACTACCTCCTATGATGTCATTGAAGGTTGTATTAGTTCTAATACGACCGCTAGATTGTATAAATTAATCGAAATGAGGTAATTTAGTTATTAAATTAACCTGAAAAGACAAAAGAAATTTGAGACAACCATGATATTACAAGAGTAAGACCATGATTGTCTTATATATAACGAAGCAAATATAACTTGGGCAGCTTAGCAGAGCCACCTTAACTAAAGATGTAAATAATATGCACCAACACATATACCAATCATACTTGATATTTTTATGCAGAATAAATTAGCACAAGTATCTTGTACAAGGTTAAATGCATTTTTCATGGAATGAACATGTAGCAATTTTCAGACAATCTTGGCCAAAAGTTCGTAGAACTACAAAACAAATTTGCAACTTTTTAATATACTTGGGGTTTAAAATCATATTACACCTCCCTCCGCTGCCCCCATTCAATGTTGCTAGCCCACATTTCTAGTACACGTATACAATTTTGTCTGTACAGTATGTCAGATCATGAATATACAGGAAACGGCAACATTGAATGGAGGGAAAGGGAGTAGGCCTTAAAAATGGATAAAAATTTATTGTCGTCCTACGGTTTATGGCCAAGATTGTAGAATCATAATGTCTAAATCCAGTATTCCAGCGGGAAACTTACTGCTGTCATTTACAATTTTAACTGGAGGTGGATCTGCAAGCAAAATGCTGAGAATATTTGAGCACATGGGTTTGGGAAGCATACCTATTATGTATTTACATTAAATCGTGTTAAATCATTTACCTACTGTTTATTTTAACACATTAAACCACAATCATTACTGTATGTTCACAATTGTGCACACTGAAATTTTGCTTCTAAAGGAATTGGTTTTGCGAATTAATGATACATTCAGTGACAATACTGTGACAGTACTGTATATCCTGTTAACCCATTAAGTTGCATGCAATATGCACAAAAACACCTTTGCTATTTTGCTCTACCTGTCCGTTCACACATTCAGTGGGCAGCACTCTTCCCCTGATGTGTAAAATCATCTGGTGAGTGGCGTTAGACAGAGTAAAATCAGTAAAGTGGTGCATCTGGATGCATTGCCACTTGGGGGTTAATACAGCCCATTTTTCTTGTCTATAAGGAATGGTCTTGTCATTATAATGGTTCAGTCAAATTAATGTAAATGTTTGTTGTACTGTAAAGTAAGGAACTGTATTGTTACAGGGATACGTCTCTTACGCTTTCTAATATGATAATCTCTTTCTATTTTAACTAAAAGACCAAGCTGTTTCCAAGTATCCATATGCATTGGAAAAGTTATAAAATGTCATGGCAATCCAAATTCAAGGAAATGGATGCAATTGTTTTAGCTGGGGATGGATGTCATGACAGCCTGGGGCACAGTGCAAAATACTGTGCATACAGTATCTTCTGTTGTAATAATCCAATAAACACAATTGTTGATTTTAGTTTAGTGCAGGTATGGTATTTTTATTTACGACATTGGTGCATGTGGAGGCAGCAAAAAAATATGACATACCGGTACTGTATGTATATTACTGTTGTCTATCCTTTCCCTGTTTGTTATCTAAGATGTACAGTATCCATATTTGGTCTAATCCAATTTTGTTTACTAGGTTTATGTACCATTCATTTTTTTGTTTAGTTTGGTATACAATGACAATGTGGCTCAACATATAGTACATTTGGGAATGCAGTTCACTTTTGATATGAAAATGCATGTTTCTCTGCAATATGTACTTTCACATATGTGCATACTAGCTGGTGTATTTCAAATTAAAAGTAATGAAGTGTGAACCATATCTTGGCATACTGTATATTCTTATCACTTTTGTTCATTAATTACTTGAGAAATGAAGCTGGTAGCAGTCCTGCCATGGAATATATGGCATTCGATAGGTTGATGGAGAATATCTCAAAAAATGATTTGAGTGTGACAACCTTTGTATCTGATTGCCATTCATCCATTGCTAAACACATGAGGGAAAAGCTGCCAGAAATTACACATTACTTCGATCTGTGGCATTTGACCAAAAGTATGTATCATCCTTTACCTGTATTATACAGCACATGTATTATTATGTATATGTTATGCAGTCGATTTTGTCCCATGGTCAACAGGCATGGAACAAAGAGTAGTGCAATGTAATGGCAGTACTTTTTCTCTGATGAAAATTGTCTAGCTTCAGGATAATGAATGTAGAATGTGGGGAGGTTGCTAACCTTAAACTAGCTGTTTTTCAATGATCAATGTATCAGGATATGATTGAAGGGAGGATTTAAGCAACAGACCAATGGTTTTGTGCTATATATATTTTTACATGTATGTGTTTAGTTTCTGTATGATGAATAATTTGTGGACATACATTATTGATTTTTGTAGAAGTTTCCAAAGTCCTGAGCAAAATTTCAAAGGAAAAAGGTTGTGAGGTACTTCTCCCATGGGTAAAGCAACCTCGTACCCAGGGCCTGCCCACCCGATTTTTTAATATGGCTGCCAAAGCGGGCGAGGCCCTGGTAAACGCTGGTCACGTGTCAGGCAAATACTCCAAGATGACGAAAAGTTCACGAATAGAACTTGAATTGCCGCGGATTATTTATAATCCTTTATTCTTTGTTGTAATCTTTCTTTTTAACATGTTACGTTTATGTATACGTATATTACGTCGAATGTACATCAATTTTCTTTTATATCGCAACATATAAATCACCGAGGAGGCGATGTTTCGAATTTCGAAGGAAAATGGAGCCAACCTCGTACATACTAATTTGTGATGATTTCCATCATGTTTCCATCAAGTAAAAGCAGAGTTAACTCTGGTAAAAGGTACAAATATGAATTATAAAATGTTTAGAAGTATTTTATTGTTACAAATTATTTAGCAGATTCCCATTATTTGTTACACTGACTACCTCTATGAAATATATATCTCGAAGGCTATATCTTATGCAGTATGTTAATATAGTTAGTTGAATTTGTAGTTTAAATATTGAGAAACACATGGCCAGACTATGGCATATAATACTATACTCAGGCTCTCAGTAAAGTTCTACTCTCACATGATTATTATTTAAAATATTGATTTATCGCTGCTGCGAGAAACGTGTTTACACTTACAGTATTATTAAACTACAGTTTACAGCAGTATTAACTTCAAATACTTTGTTTTTACTTTCAATGACCTGAAATTATTTAAATGAGCCATTACTGTAATAACAGTGGCCAGGTTGACAAAGCTAAAATCTGATCAACCTAACCTGCTAGGATATTTCAATAGTCAAACATCTGTTTCAGCATTTATTCAGCATTATGTAATGTCAGTGAGTTAATGAGTATTTTTAATATCCATGACAAACAACTACAGCTGGTCAGGGATTTGTTAGGGAAAAGGTTTAGCACCCCATCATAAAGCCTGTCCCTGAATCTCAAAATTTCATTATTTTGTTCCCTTGCCCCTACATTTATACCTTTTTTGCCCTTGAGATCTTTAAAAAAATTGCCTAACTCTGCAGTGTGACGTGTAACCTTGTTGCCATAATTCTTTTCTGAAGGCTTCAATAAATTTCTACTCTAACACCTGACAGAGATTGCAGATGGGGGCCATATGTAATAATAATAATAAGAAGAAGAATGAAGAGATTTCTTCATCTATTGACCCCTTTCACCAAATTTTAAAATTAAATTTACTGAATGATTTTGAACTTTTGAAGATTATTGAAAAGAACTTTATGGGTACAAGAAATGGGGCAAAAACAGTTGAATTAAGCAAGATGCAAGTAACAATGAACAAGACCCGGTCACTGGTATTTTAGCACACTGGTGGACATGCAACCTAATACCTGCAACCTGTGTCACATTTATATAGTTTTACACTGTACTGGAAAAATAATGTCAAGGAATTTGTAGAGATTCAGAATGCACACTCGGCTCCATGGTTTATTCAATAACCAGCATGCACGAATCATTTAATTTTATGTTATGAATATTTTTTTAAATTATTCTCACTTTATAGATAATCATATATCAATTTTCAATATCATAAATGAATATATAGTTACTGTAGCTTTTGATTATACAAGTTATAATGACTGGTCTGAAATCCATATAGAAAGGTTCAAATTTGACTTCCACTACCACTACTTGATCTGGCAGTTGCATCTGATTGTTTGATTGGATAAATGAAACTTATCTGGTTAATAGTTAATGATAGCAATAGCAGTAGTGGAAGTCAAATCTGATCTCTCTATTATTTTTTGAAGACTTGCTCTAGTCACTTCAATTCAGGGTTGCCCATGCAACTTGGTCAGCATAGCTACAATCCTGGCAAAAATTATGTGGACACCTAACCTTTGTAAGGTTAATATTAACATTGAGACGTTCTTTCATGAAATTTGTCGCCCCCTGCCCCCTATTCAATGTTGTTTCTCGCATTCAAATTTTAAAAGTTTCATTTACCAACCATTGAATTGGGGGTAGGAGGGGAGAAATTTTCTGGCGGATTAATTATGTAGAAATAGATCTATTTTTGTTTGACGCACTCGCTGTCCACGATAATTTTTGCCAGGATTGTCTGAAATTATCACATATTTCCAACCGTCCGATTTCATGAATTTAAGGCTCGATCCAATGATAAAATAGGCTTGTTTGTTTAGCAAAAGGAGCAAACAATTAGTAAATCAGGTTATATTTAGTTTTTTTTTTCTTTCCGATCTATGTTAAGTGTCACCTATCACATTACATGTCAAGTGGCCTTTTACGTGTTATCGGGATTTATACAATTACAACTTAGTCTGCAACTCTAAAAAGAAATATATTCGTAT